GGACAGGAGTTCACTCAAGACCTAAAAACCACGTGCAAAGCATCCCCTCCCAAATGAGCAGAAGAAAATGAGGAGGTAAATTGTTCAAATTACCAAAGACTTTGGAGATCATCATTTTACTACTAAGAAAACTAAATCTAGAGAAATAGGTCAAAGAGCTTGCTCAAAGTGACCTACTTCCTCCGACCCCACCCCCAGCTGGCCTTGAACTCACTATGTAGCCCAGGTTGGCCTTGAAGTGGCAGCAGTCCTCCTGCCTCAGCCTCCTAAATACTGGGATTGCAGACATGCACCACCATACCTGACTGGTTACCTACTTCTTGATACTCAGAGCTAGAACCCATGTTCTGGCTCGCAGTCCAGTGCATTTCCATTCTGGTTGGTCCATACAAGATGTAACCCATGTTCCAGGGACACTGTTAGGCCCAGCAGCAAAGATGACCAGGAGGCGGTTTTCTAGATTGTGGGCCTCCAAGCAAAAACTCAAAAGAAGAAAAGAACAACTGTGGAGACAGGCTTATGGGAAGCTGGCCAGCAGCTAATTTTAAATGTATTTGTTCCTATAAACATACTGTCCATGTCCGTGATACTACAGCCATCAAGTGCTTTCAAACTCTTAAGTCTCCCTCCTTTGTCAGCCATTCGGGTCCCTTCCTGCAAAACACCTGTTACCTGATTCCAGGAACAGTTTAAGCATGGCCAACCATATAAATTTTTAAAATACAACTATAATCTCAGATACTCTGGAGGTGAAGGCAGGAGGATCTTGAGTTCAAGGTCAGCCTGAGAAACTCAGCAGGGCAAATTAACAAAAAAAAAATTTTTTCAAAAATAAAATTTAAGGGGCTGGGGATTTAGCTCAGCGGCACAGTGCCTGCCTGGCAAGCGCAAGGTCGTGAGTTCAATTCCCAGTACCGGAAAAAAAGCAAAACAAAAAACAAACAAATCAATAAATAAATAAAATTTAAAAAGGGCTGACGGGGGTAGAGCTCAGTGGCAGAGCCCTTACCTAGATGTGTGAGGCCCTGGGGTCGATCTCCATCAGAAAAAAAAAAAATCGACTTCATGCATATTTGTGCCTCTGTCTCTTAATCACAGCTCTGTTTTTCCCAGAAGTCCCCCTAGAAATCACCTAGAAAGGAAGTAAGTCATCCTTGGCCCAGGTGCTCTGCCATCCAGTCCCCTTCAGCAGTGATACAGGGGACAAAAACTCCCAACCTGAAAGATATCTGGGATGATTTCGTGTTCTCTAAAAGTGAAGAATGATTTTTAGGAACAACAGAGGTTAAGAGCAGAATATGTTTATTGAGGGAAAGAAAGCTTCTGTCCAAGAGAAGGTCAGATGGGAGGGTGGGGAAGTGGGTTGCCCAGGGACTTTTATAGAGCAAAATCACAAGGTGAGGCAGGTCCAAAGTAGAAAACATGGGAACTCGCTAGGTGGGCATGAGGTGGGACAAAACTATGATCAGACAATAAGATTACAAGTATAATTGCTAAGGTAAAATTGATTAAATCGGGGTCAAATGGGGAAGCAAGTCCCGTAGCAAGCGGGAATGAGTACAGAACAGTGGCTTTTCCTGTAGGGGGCTGGGCTAGTAACTCTTCCTGGCTTTTTCAAGGTGACTGCTACCTATTTAGAACATCAATCCCTGAGGTCCGTCCCTAGAAAAGTATGTGGGCACATCTGTTTAATCTTCTGTCCACAGCTGGAGGTGTCTGTCTCATCTAATGCACTGGCTCCTTCGAGGGCCTGGCCCTGTCTGACTGCCTGTAATATTTCCAATATTTCTGTCTAACTCAGCTGCCTGTAACAGCAGGACTGCACACCCCATCATTATTGGTCCCTCTGCCACTTGCCCCCATAACAGGGACCAATAAGGACAAGGAAGAAGCTTCTTGCCAGGATTACTAGCCATTACTGAACATTCCTGATTCAGCTCTCATCTGTGGGACCCTCAACTTCTTCCATTTCAGACTATTTTTTTTCCTGGACCACCCCAAGCAGAGAGGATTGCACTGATATCTGATATCACCTATGTAAAGACAAAACCGACCTCATGCTTAAGGCATCCTTGCTGAATGAGTCATCACGCCTAGTGAACCAGTTATTTTTGTTGGATGAAAAAAACTCATGCTCTGCAAAAATACGGCCATAGGAGAGTCCATATTCTCACAAACGGTGTTGATATGTTATCTTTCCTTGTCATGCTGACAATCCAAGACAAAATGTCAGGAGCCAATCCATAGTCTTTTATACTTCGTGTGTGTGTGTGTGTGTGTGTGTGTGTGTGTGTGTGTGTGTGGTGCTGGAGATCAAAACATGGCCTTCTGCTTGCTGAGCAACCATTCCACCACTAGCTACAGCCTTGGCACATTTTCTTTGGAGACAATTCTAGATGAACATCCAGTTGAAAGAAATAATACAATGACATCCCTGTACCCTTTACCCAACTCCCCCCATGCTAACGTTTTACAAAACTGCCACACAGTATTACAGTGAAGATACTGACATTAATTAAAACAGTGAATATATAGGACATTTCCATCACCCTGAGAATCCCTCATGGTGCCCTTTTTTGTTCGTTTGTTTTTGAGCCAGGGTTTCACTCTGCAGTTCAGGCTGGCCTTAAACTTGAAGTGATCTTCCTGCCTCAGCCTCCCAAGTGCTGAGATTACAGGTATCTGCCACCATGCCGGCCCGTGTTGCCCTTTTAGAACCACTCCTCCTTCACCTCCAGCAGTGAATAGTCTGTGCTGTGTAATTTTGTCATTTCAAGAATGCTGTGTGCACCCAGGTACGTGTGTGCATGCATGCATGTACATACACACATCTGATCTAGTGGTGCACTCCTGTAGCTCCAGCTGCTCAGGAGGATGCAGAAGGATAATTGCTTGAGCCAGGAATTTGAGGGCAGCCTGGGCAAACAAGATGAGTTCAGGTCTTGGAGTTCAGGTCTTGGAGGGGCAAAAATGTTACGTACATGGAATGGCATAGTATAGAACCTTCTGGGATTGCCTTTATTTTTTTTTTTTCAGTATTATGGATTGAAACCAGGACCTCTTGCATATTAAGCAAATGCTGTAACACTGAGCTACACCCCCAGCCCAGGGATTTGACTACTTTTTAATCTGCATAATTCTCTGGAGGTTCTTCTGAGCAGTTACGCGTATCAGTAGTTCTTGGGCTGGGGATATAGCGCAGTGGCACAAGCACCTGCCTCGTAAGTGCAAGGTCCTGAGTTCAATTTCCACTACCAAAAATAAGATAAGATAAAATAAAAATAGTTCTTTCCTCTTCATTGCTGAGTCATATTCTATGGCACTGGATGTACTACAGTTCAACCACTTATTCACCGGTTGGAGGACATCTGGGTTGTTTCCAGTTTTTTATGATAAATAAAGCTGCTTTAAGTATTTGTTTTCAAGTATTTGTGCAAGCATAAGTGTTCATTTTGCCCAGATAAGTGCCCAGGAGTGTCATAGCTGGGTTGTCTCGTAGCTGAGTGTTTATTTAAAACTTACCCAATGATGGCCAGTGACTGTCACTCCCACGAGCAGTACTGAGTGAGTTTATTTGTGTCATTGCGGCAGTTACTGTTATCATTCTAATAGGTATTTACTGATAGCTCACTGTGGTTTTCATTCTGAGTTTTTTTGGTTTTTGTTTTTCTGGGGTTTTTTTGAAATAGGGTCTTGCCGTGCAATTCAGGCTGGCCTTGAACTCACTATGTAGCCCAGCCTGGCCTCGAACTTGCAGCAATCCTCCTGCCTCAGCTTCCCGAGTGCTGGGATTACGGGCCTGCACTTCCCCACCCGGCCTCAGCCTCATTCTTAGTTTTTTTTTTTTTCCCAAGACACTTTTGAGACTTGTTTATATATTCTAAATATTAGTGTTTGGTTGGATATATCATTTGCAAATATTTTCTCCGTCTACATCTTATCTTTCTTCCTCTTAAGCAGTCTTTTGCAGAGCAAAATTTGATTTTAATTCTGATGAAATCTATTAGCTTTTCCCTTTTATAAATCATGCTCTTGTTGTCACATACAAGCAATCTTTGGGGTGGAGAGGACTCTACATGTTCCCTTAATCTCCTCCTGTTTTTGTTTTTGTTTTTTTTCCTTAAAACTTTTGTAGTTTTCTGGTTTACATTTAATCCAGGAGATTCATTTTAAATTAACTTTTAATATGTTGAAGGTTTGGAGTTTATTTTGTTTTGTTCATTTTTTGGTAGGAATCCTCCTGCCTCAGCCTCCCCCCCACTCAGCTTTTTGTTTTGCTTTTGCTCTTTTGGGTGTGTTTTCTGTTTGTTTTTGCTTGTGCACTTCCAATTTTTCTAGCACTCCCACCTCTGAAGTTTTACATTTTATTTTATCTTTGGTACTGGGGGTTCAACCCAGATTTCTACTACATATAGGATTTTACACTATTCTTTCAATTGTTGAAACTACTCTGTCATTTCCTCTGGCTTTTATGGTTTCTGGAGAGAAATCTGCTGTCCTTTCGAACCATTTTTCCCAGGAGATAAGGTCATTTTTCTTTCTGGCTGCCTACTTGCTTGCTTATGTATATATGCATGCATGTATGTATACCTTTAGTTTCTACAAGTTTGACCATGAGGTGTGGATTTGAGTTCATCCTGATTGAAGTTCACCTTTTTTCCCCCCTTCAGTCGTGTGGATTAAACCCAGGGCCTTCTCACTGAGCTATATCCCCAGCCCTTTTTGATTTTTTTATTTGAGACAAGATTTTACTATGTCATTAAGTTGCCCAGGATGCACTTAAATGTGCAGCGCCCCTGCCTCCAGCCTGCTGGGTTACAGCACACTGCCACACAGGCTTCAGCCTCTTGAATGTGTACGTTTATGTCTCTTGCAGTTTGGGCAAGTTTTAGACCATTGTCTATTTCCATATGTTCTTGGTCCAGCTCTTTTTCTCCTTGCCTGAGACTCTGAAATCATGAATATCAGATCTTTTATTATAGTCCCACAGGTCCCTGAGCTTTTGTTCATTTTTTCAGTCTGTTTTTCCTCTGTTGTTCAGACTGCAAAAGTCTATTGTTCTATTTTCAGATTCACTGATTTTCTTTTTTCTTTCTTTCATCAGTCTTTTTTATTATGCTGTTGAGACCATCCATGAATTTTTTTTCTTTTTTTTTTTTCTGTCTTTTTGAGACAGGGTCTCACTATGCAGTTCAGGCTGGCCTTGACTCACTTTGTAGCCCAGGCTGGTCGCAAACTCACAGCAATCCTCCTGCCTCAGCCTCCCAAGTTCTGGGGTTACAGGGATGGGCCACCACGCCTGGCCAATCCATGAATTTTTGTTTTTGTTTTTATTTTTTTCTTTTTTAGTTCCACAATTTCCAATTGATTCTTCTGTCTTCTTTTCAAATTTTTCCACTTCTTT